CCAGCAACTATTTACATAGCATTTACATTGGATTTACAACTATTTACATAGCATTTGCATTGTATTAGGTATTATGAGTAATCTAGAGATGATTTAAAGTATATGGGAGGATTGCTTATAACCTATGCAAATATTACATCATTTTATATAAGGGACTTGGACATCCTCGGATTTTGGTATCTGCGGGGTTTCCTGGAACCAATCCCCTGCGGATACCAATTATATTCCAATTAAAAAAAATCTGAACAGACAAAAATTTTGGTTGAGATAAATATTGCCCACATTCCTAAGAATTTAGTTGACCTGTTTTTCCTGGTATAAACCAGCTAACAAAAAATCAAAATATTTCTTTAAAAAATGAATGAAATGTCTCAGACATCTTTGTAGTCCGACAGAGCTAGTTCCATACTTTGGTCCTGCCACCTAGCCATGTATGACAGAGTTTCGGTTTTCTCTCCTGTGAAGCGGGGACAGTGAACCCTGCCTTGTCAGGTGGTTATAGGGATTTGAAGGAAAGGCTTCACCTGGCTGCTGGCCCAAAAGGTAAATCACAGCAGAGAATGCTGAATTTTATGAGCGCACAGGCTTGGGGAGCTCACATGGCACTGCTGATCACCTCCACGCCCAGAAATGCCCTGAATGCCCCTGGAGCTGTTGAGACCTGCACTGGATCAAAGGCCCACCTGGGTCTTCTCGTCCTCACTGCAGAGTCCCTTCTTACCCCTCCACGCTCCTGCTGGGGTTTCTGCCTAGGATTCCACAAGGAAGGCGAGCACCTTTTCTCTTCCCCACCCACCTCGCTCCCTCTCTGGGCTGCCAGGGGCTGGGATTCCTGAGCTGCATAAGCGAGTGTGAGGGCCCTCCCATCCCCCTGGCATGGGGGCTCTGGCCCACGCCCAGCACTGTCCTCATAGGCAGCTTCGTGCCCACAGGGGCCATGTTGCTATGGTGATTACACTACCCACTCAGTGTCCAGGGAGACAGCATGGTGTAGCTGCGAGCTGTTTGCAAGACTCGCTGCAACTAGGCTGGGAAGATGCCAGAAAGGGTCAGAGGGAGCGGGGGATGGGAACTGAGTGTGACTGCTTCCCTAGCTCTGTGTGTGTGTGTGAGTGTGTGTACACATGCTCACACATGTACCCACCCCGCTGTCCGAGTTATAACGGCCCTTCTGAGCAGAGGCACAGCCCCTAGAGAGGCATAATCCCGTGGTCGTCATAGGTTTCCTCCTGAGGTGGTGTTTACTGTTTATCACTGTGTTTAGTTTCTATATTGAAAACTAAAAGGGAAAAAAGTGGCATTCATATGGCAGCAGAACAGACTGAACTGTGCCTTCTCTTGCTCCACATCTGAAGCTGGCTTCGTGATTCACCTTGTCCCTTGTCCTGTGAGATTTCCTACAGAAACAGTGTGGGACACCAGGAGATTATACCGTGGCAGGGAGAAAGTTGCCCACTCCCCCGTTACTTGCCTTACACTCCAGGTGGCTCCTCTGAATTGTCTCATTTAGCCCACACCACAGTCCCGCATAGGGATTTGTTGTGCTCATTTCACAGACGACAAAACTGAGGCCCAGAGAGGCTAAGTCACTTCCACAGTCCGGAGGTAGTATGTGTAGGGGGCGAGAGTCAAGCCCAGGCTGTTGAAGACCTGTGCTCACCGCACTGGGGGCCTCCTAGGCCCAGAAAGTACACAATCCAAGGCGCCAAGTGAAACAAAGGAGCCACAACCCCTCTGGAATAGCAGGTGGACAACCCACATTGCACCCACTGGGGTGCACTTAGGCTCTAAATTTAAGAGCTTTTGGTTCCCCTTCCTGAGCAATCAATATTGGGGATGATTAAATAAGTGACCCTGGCCTTAGCCACGCACACATTTGTGCTGACCCAATTCAATCCACACTAGTTAATCTATGCCTTTTCTCCACAGTCACGAATGTGGGCTTCCCCTTGCAGAGCCTCTGAAACAGCCCCGACTGCAAATAAATGAATCCTCAGGGTGGGGAGAACCAGGCCCTAACAGCTTCAGAGCCCTCATGTTCCAGCTAATGCTGATTTGTAAAGCGCTTTATGATTTATTCATACCGCCTTGCCAGGCTTCCCAGGACAGCCTTCCCCTCACGCAAATGAGCACGACTCCCAGAACAGAATGTCAGGCTTCATTAAGAGAAAACACCCGGGTGTGGGGATGTCCTCGTTTGGGCTCCCTGGCCTGCGTCACCCAGTGTCTGTAGGATTCGGGGCAAACTCCAGGAAGCACCTGTGCTCTGACGGCCTTTGGCTCGTGAGCATGGTGAGATGGCAGGAGTTCCCTTCTGGGAGGGAGAGACTCTCCAAGGGCTGGGCCTCATGCCTCTGCACCCAAGATGGGACCTCGGGCCAGTGGATGCATTCCCAGGTGGCAGGAGCCGGCGACAAGGAGCTGGGAGGGACCCAAGTGGAGCTCTGCCCCTGTGATTCTTGGCCAGTAGATCAAGGTGGGCCCCTCAGCTCTCGGGGAGCCACCAAAAGATCAGAGCGCCGTGTAAATGAGAAGTCACCAAACCGGCCCCTGGAACCATTTTCGCTTAGCTTCTTCAGGGTGCCTTGGGAGCAGCCCCTCCCTCGGGCCACACTACTGCCCAGGAAAGCTGACCACAGACACGCACGGCACCCATGAGCCCACAAGGCCCCACAGGGCACAGAAGTCGTGCTGATGCAGAGCTGAAGGGGGCCTGAAGCGCTTCACGCCGTCTCTAGCGAGCGAGACACAAGCTGCGGTCACCATCCTTGTGCCAGAGGGTCACACTTCTGAGGGCGCAAACTGCTAACCCACACCCACAGGGACTTTTGAGTGTCAGCTTCTTCGGAAGCTGACTCCAGCACTCTGATGCCAGGCATGTGGGGGACTTGTGACTCGACTTCACCTCCTTAACCCCCAGAAGGGCAGTGTGAAACGGGGCAGAATAAAAAACTCTGAGTAGGAAGCTTGAATCAGGTGAGCTCTGGAGCACGTGGGGCCTGACTGCCCTCCAGGTCCACCCCAGAGAGGGAAGGATGCCTGAGCACCCCAGGGACCCCCTGGGGTATTGGGGACTTGACCACGCACTTCTCAAGTGGAACCTTTCAAACAAAGTACAAGTTCTGGGGACATCTCATTTGCTTGACAATTCATGCTGAAGCTGGCTATTAACAAGAGTCAGTCCGATGTCATCTGCAGGAATCAGGGGAGCGTCATCACGTGCTCCAGGGACTTCCCTCCAGTCCACGGGCTGTCCCAGAGTCTGGGGATCTGTCAACTACAGATTGGCACTTGCCATCCACCTCTACAAGGATTAGATCGTGCGCTGCTGCACCTGCTGACCTTCAACACCCCCTGGAAGGAGTTCAGGGTGGAGAGCAGGAAGGAGGCGCTCTGTGCTCTGGGAAAACCTGGCAGAACAGGTCTTCTGATAGTTAGATATTTTTAGGAGCCAATTTTATGATTCCAATTCTTATATCTCCTCATATCTAGAAAAGCACTAAAATCCTTCATGGTGACGTCTGCTCCTCATGACTAGCAGTAACCTCCTGCAAAAAATCTGTGCTTGATTGCATGTACTCCCCCCCTTCACCGAAATCACATATATACTGACCTTCCCCGCTGCCTCTTTGGAGCAGTTTCTCAGAGCTATCTGAGATGCTGTCTCCCGGGCTATAGTCCTCATTTTGTCCCAAATAAAACTTAACTCACGATTCTCACGTTGCGCACGTTTTTTAAGTTGACAGACCCAATGCAGTCCTGAAAGTCCAAGGTGTGGGTGGTGACCTGCAGCACATTTAAGGGGTCCTCCGCTTGTTTAATCCTCACTGCCAACCTTTACTTTATGATAGTCCAGTAGTGGGCGACACTGAGACTACAGAGCAGCAAATATAATCTAAAAGAGACTGCTTTCCAAAAAAGGGCCTACGTTGCTCTTAACCTTAATAGAAAACAGCAACAACAAAAGAGTTGCTTTTGGATTAATCTGGTCAACACTGATCCTTTGACCATCCCTTCTAGCTCTGGTCCTCCAGGCGGGGGATTGGATGAATTACTGCATGTCCTACCCAGTTCTGAGAGATCACAGTAAAGTCCAGAAATAAATCCCAACTGGCCATCCCCATCCTAGAAAGTAAGCCAATGATACTTTCAACTGAGTTCTACACAATTGCTAACTGCTAACGTACAAACTCCTTAAAAAGAAAAACAACTAATAACAACAATAACTAGGCAACAACATTTTTAAACATGTTAATTAATTTTCAAAATAACATTGCTAAAATATAGTAAATAAATTACACTGTTTTGGGCTTCCTTAAATATATGCATTCTCAATGGGGGTGATATAGTTCCCAAGGGGGACAACACTGGTTCTTGAATGTGAGAAATTATTACTCTTTTATATAGAAACTATAGGTATATATACAGTACATAAACAGAAATACAGTATATCTTTGGTATTGAAATTTCAAGAAGGGATAATTAGAAAAAAAAAGCCTAAAAAGGCTCCTTATGGGGGCAATTAGCAAAAAAAGGGTTGAGAAACACTGCTGTTAAACAGAGAATAAGGAAAGCGATCTTTTCTGTACAACTCAAAGTCATCCATACAAACATCTCTCCTTATATTCTGTGATGGCCGTCAAGGTTGGTGGGCAGACTTGTTCCTTCTTACACAGCCCTGACTCTGACCCCAAGCACAGTGCCTGGGTGGGCATTTTTCTCCCTTGCTTTTCTAGGTTATTCAATCATTCTCAGTGGCCTGTCTTCTAGCAACAGCCTGTTAAATCCAGGCTCTTAATTTTACAGGCAATACTTAAGTCCATTCTGGTCTGAAAGCTATACCACGCTGCCCTGTTGAACTGCTTGAATGGCTGAACAAGTTGTCTGCTGCCTGTTCATGTATTTTCACGCAGTTCTGGGTTTGTATCTGTGTTTTTGGTGATTGTGGTCACCAAGAAAACCTTGTATCACAAACCACTGGAATGTGCAGAATGACTTACGGTGCAAAGGGTTTCGAAGGTCTTTTCAGAGACAAAGGACCCATCCAGGCCAAAGAGAAAGATGGATGCATAGGAAAGCATTCCTCCGAGGATGATAAGGTTGTTCATATACGGACTTGACATCTTTATCAGCCTGACAAAAGAAAGAGATACTATAGTTAGCAGAACTGTTAATTTAGCTACTCCTGCAGCAAGTATTTTCTGAATGTGTATCTTGTCACCAAGGCTAGAGAGGGAGAGAAGAATGGAAACCCTGGTTTCCTTCACTGCCCCCTCCCCCAAGACTGTGCTTCCTCTGATGGGCTGTTTCCCTCTCACTATAGGACCGTGATGCTATCGATTTCTAGTTGTTGATTTTCCTGTCTTCTCAGTCAAGTTCACCTATCACTTCTCTGGGGACAGCCTGTATTGCCGGCTTCTTCAACCATTAATTTTTAGTTTACACAAAGATGTTAAGTCAACAGTTTTTTTTTGGCTGGGCCTGGGAAGACAGCCAAATCTAGAGAATTCTAATCTATGTTCAGCAACCTTCCACAGTGATGGACTGTCCTGAGCACAAAGAGGGCCACACGCATGGTACCTCCCGGTACCAGGTGATGGAGGTGGACAATGGAGTCCCCACCCCCATCCTCCCCCTGTCTTCACCAGGCTGTGTTAAACCATCAGCCAGCTGGAATTTACTCTCAGATGTGTCTGGCTCCCCCAGCACAATCTGTTCAGAATGTCTTGGGTTTTCAGGTGCCCCCATGGTCCAGGTGTTCTTTTGCAGATTGTAATTATGGTCAGTTGTTCCCTGAGCATTTTCTTTTGCATTCTGCAGTTCTATTAATCCTTTCACATTTAAAAATTCAGTGTCAAAGTAGTAGAGTGATAAAAAGCCGGCTGTAAATTGTGGACCCCTCATGGGCTTTTGAATTGAAAGCCCTGCGTCCAGCAAGCACCCCTGTGACCTCATGAGGTGCACCCTTGGCAAGTCAATTAGCCGAGTTTCCTCACCTATAAAAGCACATATACCACTGCCTAGGACACATGTGAAGCTGAGAGGGGACTGGGTCCCTGAAGGTCCTTTTGTAAACCATGAACCGCTAAGGCCCCTTCATTCTTATTACCATAGGAAGCAAGGAGGGGAGAGGCCAGAAGTGAGGCAGGCTTCCTGGATGTGGTAGACCTTAAAGGATGAGTAGCATTAAGGAAGATAGAAGAGAGGGGGATTTGAAACCACAGTGACATTTATTTCCTATCTCTTTGTAGATTTTTTAATCTGAAAAGCCAGTCAAAAAATTCACACAGGGACTTCCCTGGTGGCACAGTGGTTAAGAATCCACCCGCCAATGCAGGGGACAAGTGTTCGAGCCCTGGTCCGGGGATATCCCATGTGCCTTGGAGCAACTAGGCCCGTGCGCCACAGCTGCTGAGCCTGTGCTCTGAAGCCCGCGAGCCACAACTACTGAGCCTGCGTCTGCAGCTACTGAGGCCCACGTGCTTGGAGCCTGTGCTCCGCAACAAAGGGAGGCCACAGCAGTGAGAAGTCCACGCACTGCAGCAAGGAGCGGCCCCCGCTCACTGCAACTAGAGAAAGCCCGCGCACAGCAACGAAGACCCAACACAGACAAAAATAAATAAATACATAAATAAATAAATTTATTGGAAAAAAAAATTCACACAGAAGCCAGCCTATTGGAAAGAGTAATGGTAATTCCCCCCCAGGAGGCCAAGAGGGGGTAGTTAGGAATTAAAGGAGTATAGTCTTAACGACAGGGACAACTTGCTGTTATGACAAAAACTACTGCAGCTTGCAGGAAGGGAATCTAACATTAAGAGCTGACCACATGCCCAGAGCCTTGTGTCGAGTTCTAACATGCATGGTCATCATTTAAGGCTTGTACGGAGTAGATCAGAGTTGCTTCAATTTTTTTTGGAGGCAATATTTGTGCTATCGGTGATAAATAAAACAACAGGTTTTTCAGCAAACAGGTTTGACCTAAGCAGCTGCTACCAAAACCAAAAAGAAAACAAACCCCCAACGACAACAAAAGCTCTAGAGCCGCCAAGTTCCTCCTTGGCAAGCAGGGAGAGAAGGAAAACCTCTTCTCTTGGGATTGCGCTCGTCCCTGCAGCCCAGGAGGTCGCCCTGTGTGCCTTCTGGGCACTGACAGCAGAGCCGCGCCGCCTCTGGGGGGCACCTAGGCTGTCACCCCCCCCCACCCCCGCCAAGGCCCGCCCTCTGAGCCCTGCTCAGCCACTCCCACAACAAAGCAGGGAGCAGGGGTCAGGGATTTCTACGGAAACCAAAGAAGCTGGCTGTGCTCAGCAAACACCACCGCCTGGGGCGGTGGCCCGTACTACCCATGGCTGGCCAGAATAACTCGGAAAGCGAGTTGGTCTCCTCCGGAGAGGGAAGGGCACGCGTGGGGGAAAAGGGATCAAGGCCAGAAACCCAGGGGATAGGCTCTGCTACACGCAGCAGTGCGGCCTCGGACGGGGCTCTCCAGCCCTCCGACATCGAGCCAGCGCTCTCATGTGCAATCGTGGTCGTTATTCGAGGGTCAACCGAGATGATGAAGGAGGCACTTCCTGGGCTGTGATATGCTGTATGGATGGGAAGTGCCCTTACTGAACTCAGTGATCTCCCTCTGGCAGTGCTTCCTGAAGATGCTGGTGGGTGGGGCAAAGACGTTCGGGGAATTCTGCTTCTATATTTCTCCTCCTGGACCACCACACAGTGCACATGCATGGCCAAAATTCCAAGAAGACCTGTGGACTTGGACCCTTCAATTTTGTTTAAGCCAGACTTCCTGTGCAAGCAGCGCTCCTGCCTCTGTGTGCGCGCGCTCGCGCACACACACACTCACATGAAACATCTAATGACATCCCAGTGACTAAGCGGCACACTTTGGAAAACTGCCCTAGTAACTTCTTCTGTGCCCCTGGAGAACGTGTTATGTGATGCTCCTACACTTTGTCTATGAGGCTTGTCTACCCAGAAAGCACTATCCAAAAGGAGGGCATGAGTGACTTACTTCTGATTCCGATTCTTGATGTTGAAGAAGAGAAAAGCACTGGCCATGATCATTCCCAGGATGGTAAGGGCGGAGAGGATGCTGTAGAGAGGTAGGGAGATCTTACGAAGCTGTTCCAGGACGATGGTCTTGTCTTTTGGTGGTTCGGATCCTAGAAGATCAAGGAAAAGGCATCAGCTGAGCTCAGCGCACAGTCAGTCCCCAGGAACATCCTTGCCTGGATGCCCTTGACACCCGCCACCTGTGCACAAACTGTGCAGGACACGTCACTGGGTGAGCGGGCTCCAGCGGTTGGCCAGTAGGGAGCCTAAGCCAGGACTTATTTCCTTCTCTAAACAGAATCAATAAGGGATTTGTGATGCATTTAATCACCATTAGAAGACTAGAATTTGGTCTAATTACCATGTTGAAAACCCATCGCCATTTATTCCCCAAAGGTACCAGTGGCTTAGAAGGCGCAGGGCTGGGTGGTGTGAGTAGGTACCATTGGTTGTCTTTGGGGTGAGGAACTTGGCTTGGGCTCTCAAGGACTCTGCTCCAACACATGATAATGGCCACCCCTCAACAGGGTGGAAACCTTGCCTGTCAATTCTGTGGAGACATATATGTGCTCTGGCTGCGGATTTTCTGCCTCAAGGTCATTATGCTATAAAAGCTCTTTCTGGTTTTCCATATTCATAAGACTTACTGTGGGAGGCAGAAGCTACTGGCATGTCTTCCCCTCCCTGCTGTGCCAGGGCTGGACAGAAACTGTGGGATTCCATCCCGCTGTGTGACTGTAGAGATGTCTCTGCTCATTCTTCAAGGGCACCTGGGGGAGACCTGAGGGCCTCAGAGCAAACTCATCTTTATGGATGGTGGCAAAATTGTCCTGATTTACCAGGTACAGGCTGGTTTGGGAGGAAAGATGCAGGGACACCCTTTTCCTCACCTGCCCACCTCTTGTTTCTTGCAGATCCCTTTTTTCTCAGCTGCTATTTTCAGGTCAGGTTTCTGCTGTGGAACTGTGACACTTGGAAGCTTTTCCCTCCAGTGTGGAATCGGTCAGATGTTCAAGAGTGGCCAAACCTGGGAGACCCACCAGGGGTCACAATGACCCCACCACAGCTGTGCCACGGGTGCCAACCTAGGTTATGCCTCCATTCCCAGGAGACAGGCAGAGGATGGGCAGATGTGGTGGCAGGGATTGAGAACTCCCCTGCACATCTGTTTAAAAAACTCTGCTAGCAAGTTCAAATGTGTTTGGAAACAATCAGTGGATAAAAAGAGTCTGAATCATCTAAGCAGTAGAGGGAACTGTCAGGTTCAAAAACAGCTAGAAACCTGCTGGCTTGGTTAATGTAAAGCATTAAGCACTTACATGCAAAGTAACACTTATAAGAGTGGCCTCAAGGGCCGCAAGTCAGGGCAAAAGCAGACTCAAGGTGATACAGGTAACACCATCTCTTGCTTCCAGAAATAAAAGCTCAACACCTGGAAATTTTTCCTCCCACTCCCTGTCCTCCTCCCCCCTCCCCCCACATAGCCTGGGCTGCATTAGGCACCTTCTGGATCCCCAACACAAGAGCTGTGAGTGCCCATGAGTTCTTGGTGGAAATAAGCTCCTCTTTGGGCACTAAGCAAGGGGGCTAGATTTGGATCAAAGGTTATGTGACTACTATAACCACTAGTTTGTGTAGAAACAACTTCAGAAAATCAACATCTCTTTTTCCACCTTGTCTTCCCCCAAAATGGCACCTTCTCACCGTGCATCTTAGCTAAGTCATTATGGAAGCCAAATGGTAACAGCTTATCAGAAGTGTTAGTAACAGCAGCAGCCCTGTTTCTTGCTCCCCACCCAATCCATTCATTCATTCTTCATCCATTCATCACCATCCTTCCTTCATTCGTCCTCATTACTGATGGGCATCATCATTGATAATCACCTTCCAACTGTCAGGCCTGGTGTGGGGCACCAGTGATTCAAAGATAAGCAAGACACAGTTCCTGTCCTCAGGGAACTTACACACTAGCCATGTTTTTTTTTTTTTTTTTTTAAAAAAAGGCAGTAGCAAGCACATTTATTGAATGCTTACCATGAGCTGAGCACTTTAATAGAGATTTTCTCACTTGATCTAAGAGTCTCATGGGTAGAGAAGATTACTCCCATTTTACGGGGTGAGGGAACATTTTTTTAGGTGTTAAGTGGCTTTTATAGCTAGTAAGTAGGAAAGCTGGACAGATTTGAACCTAGATCTGCCTAGCCCTGAAGCCTGTGCCTTAATCACTATGCAAAGTGCCTCTAGCGATGGGGTCCAGGTGGTGTGCGAACATCAGGCCCAGGGAGGCCTGAGCAGGAAACAGGCGGCCGAGTGCAGTTCCACCAGATGGGGTCAGGAAAGGCTACAGAATGGAGATGATGTGGGAGCTGAGTCTTGACAGGAAGATAAGTAGTTGGCTGTTTACTAGGAAGACATGGAAGAACGGGCATTCTGGGCGGACGGCCCAGCACAGGCGAAGGCATGGTGAAGTCTCGGCACATTTGCAGAAATGTCAGCAGTTTGGCTGGGGAGTCCTGAAAGAGCAGGCAGAGAAGTGGGGCGGGGTCCCCTCCTGGAGGTCTTAGAACCACCCCAGGGAGAGGCCCCTCGCTGTGAGCAATGGGGACTGTGTGGGCCTCTTCAGTGTGACATGACAACTGAGGGCAGAATGGACTTGAGGGGGTTAGACTGGTGATAGGTGGGTAAAACCCATGGGGGGCTGGTGCAGGGGTCTGGGTGAGAGTTGAACCCAGGCAGGGTGTGGACAGGAGAGCTGGGTTCTGCCCAGGTGTCCTGGCTCGGCTCTGGGTTCAGAGACTGGTTATCCACCCTCCGGGCGGTGCAGGGAAGCTCTGAGAAGCAGGAGGCAAGCCTGTAACAGCTGCTGCCTCAGTGTTATCCTGGCCTCGTGCTTCCTAACTATAACTAGCTATTTTCCTGGCTGGGTTTTTTTTTTATTTATGTTTTTCCTCTCAGTTCTGTTTTGTGTCTCTTATTTATTTTGTTTGAATTTTTCTTTCAATTTGTAAACCCAGAATTCTTATTCAGCAAACCCAGATCTCCTGCGTCCAGGAGCAAATAGCCCTATCTTGGGGATCAGACTCCCATGGTTAGAATTGGCTTTGCCTCTCACAGGCTGTGTGAATTTGGAGTTTTCTGATCCCTTTTCTCATCTGTACAACAGGGATGACAGGACTTATCCACCCACTTTCAGAATTTTTCTGTGGCTCCATGAGGTAATAATTGACTACGGGCTTGGTGACAGCTCCCTCAGGTGGGACTGTGAAGACCACACCTCCTCTTTGAGGCCACCTGGAGCTTACTGGAATCCCACAGATCCAAAATCTAACCAAATGGTTCATGGGAGAGCCTTCTTTGGTGGCCTTGGATTTAAGAAGGAACTCCAGGTGCAGAAAGCCAGCTGTCTGTTCTTTGCATTCCCAGTGGAATCAAAGTAACAGCATCTGGATGCTATGGGTATGGCAGCTTCCTCCACAGCCACCCCGTGATGAGGCTGTCCGTCTATCCATCCATCCACCCACCCACCCATCCACACATGCATCCATCCATCCACCCAGTTCCTCACTGACTCATATGCTCACCCTTTCATTCATTTATTCACCCACCCACTCATTCATTTACTTGATCAATCATGTATTATTTTTTCATCACATATCACTGAGCCCCCAACATGTGCCAGACCCTGGCTGGTGCCAGGAATTTAAACTCAAATAGGATCCAGTCAGGGAGCTCATGGTCCAATAACCTACTAATTTCAATGCAAAGTGACAGAGGCCATAAGAAAAGCAGAGACAAAAGACTGTGGAAGCAAAGAGAAGAGAGCCGTTAACTCAGTTGGGGGGCATCAGGGAAGGCTGAACAGAGCAGGTGTCATTTGATCTGGGTCTCGATGTTGAGGAGAAGTTCTCCAGCAGAAGAGAGGGAATGGTTTTCCAGGAAGAGCAGCAAGTGGAGAGGCCTTATTACCAGCCCATCCATGTCTTTTCTGAGGAGGTGACACAGCAAAATTTAGTTGGGCCACACATAAAAAGAATTACTTCTGGCCATTCAACAGTTTAAACACAGATGCTTTGGTGAGAGCCAGCACTCCATGCAAATTCCAGTGCCCCATCCCAGGGGCTGGAACCCAGCTCCCATGTGGTGATGGTATCCTGTCCTCAGTGAGCGAGTGCATGGATTGAGAGGAGAGGATGTTCCCTCTTCCCCACAGAGCTTATCCACAACCCTCAACAATATGCAGGACTGGGAGCACCTGAGCAGGCCCCCTCCTCTGAGAAGTCCACCTGCCTTACCTTGGAACTTAATGGTGTCGTTGATGATCTCCAGTGTGTCAGCCACAGCATTGTATTCTCCCACCTTCACCTCCCTGCTGTCTGCGGGGAGCAAGAGACAGTGGCGGGTTAGATCCAAGTCCTGTGTTTGTCTGGGTGCTCCTGTCCCAGCTCTTGCTCCCCCACAGGCTCTGGCTATATTCTTGCAGGCTTTTCCTTTCCCCAGTGCCTTTTCCAGGTAGAATCACAAAACCTCCACCTTGATCTGGGCTGGAACAAATACCCTCTCATGTCGTCTCATCAACTGGTCACCCATCCTTTGCTGTACATGTATAGATGGGGAGCCTACTCCCCCCCATAACTGGACTCTCTGCCTGTTACCAAGTCTTTCCGGGGTCATTAGCTGAATGGCCTCTCTGTAACTTTCCTCTGCCATCTGGTCTGCCCTCTAGGAGTGCATGGACCACTCTGCTCCCCCTGCCCCAGGAGAGCCCTAGAGCCTTGAAGACAAAAACACATCATCCCTCTGGCAGTAAGCCTCCCCCCCTTACTGAACATCATTTCTATTTCCCACCCCATCCAGGCCCTGGGGGTGGGCAGAGCAAAGACGCTACAAGAGACTGGGAAAGATGGGCCAGGACGCCAGGACAGAGTGGGCATCCTGGAAGCCAAGGAAAGGGACAATTTCACAAGGGAGCTGGCCAGCAATGCCACATGCCACCAAGACAGGGACAAGAAGCCCTTTGAACAGAGGATCCATTCAAGGCTTGTGAGGGAATACTGATGACAGATGAAGCTGAATCAGGGAAAGGTGGGGTTAGAGGCAAAGAGCCAAAGGCAAGGAGTAGAGAGTGGGGCTCCCAGGGTAGCGCAGTCTTGGACAAGGTGGCGACTGGGCAGGGAGGGGCCAAGGGGATTCACCTTCAGATGTCTTTTCTTGTTTAGTTCTCACAGTTGTGTGCAGTTAAGTGGTTTCAGTCCCACTTTACAGATGAGGAAACCAAGTCTCAGGCAGGTTGTGGCTTTGCCCAAAGCCCCACTGATACTAAGAGCAGAGTCCAGGTTCAAACCCAGGACTGTTCCCACAGCCGTGCTCTTCCCTGACATGCGGCTGCCTCAATGGGATCCCTGAGAGGTGACAGTTCTGGGCTGAGTTCCACAGGCCACCTGTGCCTCCTGAGTGTAATAACTACAGAGAGGAGTGCCCACCTGCCCACCGGCGGGGCAGGCAGGTACCCAGAGCTGCAGACCCTGGTTCTCAAAATGCCCAGGGGTTATAAAGCGACACAGCAGCAGGAATTCCAAGCACGTGGCCAGAGGAGCTGCCTGCTGGGCCTCTGGCTCTAAGTGAATGTCTCTGCAGAGACGCAGGTGCGCTGCTGGTTCCTTATAAGGATTCAGGAAACGGAACAGGGAATCCTATAGGCCACACTTCTGCCTGCGTTCCTTTAACTGTGGGGTGGAAAACAGGGCTGTAAAAGTCACTTCCTTCTCCCTGCAAAGGTCTCCCTGCCATTTGGGAGGCCTCATGCTGTGTAGGCGGCTGTCACTTGCAGGGGTCACCCAGCTCCTAAATGTCACACCAGCAGGCTCTGCTGGGACTCCAGCATCCCTGCTCTGGCCTTTTGAAGCCTCAGCCGTAATCAGCTCCTACTGCTCAGCGGAGGAGGCCCTGATTTATTTATTTGGTGTGGGGAGGCAGCACAGGAAATATGCAGGCTGCCTGGAATAAATCATCAGGAGCCAGGCGGTGGTGCGGCTGGCAACTCACTACGCCCCCAGCCGCGCAGCCTGACCCTCTGACTCATACACCTGCTGTACCATCCATCCCATGGCACTGCCTCCTGCAATGACCATAACTGCCGTAATCTCTCCCCGGGGGGCAGTGCTTGGAGGCTGGGTGGGGTGGGGGGCTTCACACATTCCTGCATTCAGGGTTCCATAGCAAACCTTGAATCAGGCATAATTCACCCCAGTTTACAGGTGAGGGAGGAGCTTCATGTCAGCTAAGTGAACGCTCAGAGCCAAGTGCTGGGCAGCGACCAAGCGGGTGCCTGAACTTGACTCCCCTAGTTCTAAATTCAGAGCATTTTCCCCACCCATACTGAACAGGGCTGCTGGTCATTCAGCCCATACTTACTGAGAGCCTACTGCATGCCAGGCCCAGGTATTTCATAATAAAGAATCCCTCAAAAGCAGCAGCGTAGGTGGAGGAAGCTTAGCTTATGTCCTCATCCTTGACCAAGCTGACCTTGGACATCTGGGCGATGAAGGATGTTTATACTAAATCCCTTAGTTTAATCACTTCATTCATTCATTCAATAAACACTGGGTGCCTGTTATGTTCTAGGCTCTGTGCTGAAGGCTGGAGTTACAAAGATTAAAAAATAATTCATATCTCTGACCTTGTAGTTTAGTGACTGCAGCATCACCCAGCCCTACCGGGTGGGTAAAATTATTTCCATATGCCAGTAATATTTCCCTTCTAGCCTGTGACCTGTGAGTGGATGGCTGTAACGGTAAAATTTCAACTTTCAGAGTGCCTATGAGGACTAAAGAGGAGACTATAGGCAGTTTCTGGCTTGGGGCCTCACAGGAAGTGTTCAATAAATTGTAGTTATTTGAGTCACGACAAAAGTAACTGTGAGCTATTTGTGAGGTCCCCAAACACTCCCTGTGTTTTCTTACTACCACTGTTCCCCACAATGGTCCCTCTGCTTGGAAGGTAGCTTTCCCCTTCCTCTACCAAACCAACATGTCCAAACCCTATCCACCTCTTCCAGGAAGGTGTCCCTGAGTACTGTTCCTCCCCAGTTGCTGTGGGCTCAAGGCATGGGTGATGTGTGAGAAGCTGTGTTGCAGCCATGCCCTAGGTGTGCCCAAGCCTTATGATTCCTGCCAGCCGGTCGGTTCTTGAGTGGAACCTGAAGTCTCGTTTCTGAGGTCCCAGGCAGCATAGGGTCGCATCCCCTGCACTTTGCCCAGGGCCCTTCCTGGCTCTGCAGGGGAAGGATGGTGTCCCCTGTGTTCTTTCTTTCACCCACGGCCCAGCCAGCTGGTGACCATGATAGGTGGGCACTTCCAACTTTTAACTCTTGGGTTCCTTGGTAACTCTGTTGTGCAAAGAACATCGACCACTTATTTGGATACAGACGTGAAGACTGCGGAACAGGGGATTTGCGGACAGACTAGAAAGAGGACTCATGGGGGCAGCAGAGAATAGAGCAGAGGGAGAGGGGCTGTGGCGTTGAGTCTGTCACTGGCCACCCTCCCTGCCCTGCTAGCCCTGCTGTAGGTTGCCACTGACTTAACGTGTGACCCTGGACAGATGATCCCCTTTCTCTGGACCTCAGTTTCTCCATCTACAAAGTGCACCGCAGGGGTTCGAATAGTTCTCAGTCCTGGCCAGGCACTAGAGTCACCTAGGGAATTTCTAGAAAATTCAGATGCCTGGGTCCCAACATGGATCCATTATATTAAAACCTCTGGGGGGTTGAGGAGTGAACCCTGGGTGGCCATATTTTTAAAAGTTCCCTAAGTTGACTAACGCATAACTAGAGTTGAAAACCACTGGATTAGACCAAGGACCCTGCAACGCTGACACTTTCTGTTCTCAGAGGCTCAAAATACTATAAAACAAAGAGCCCCTTTTCCTGCAGAATAATACTGGTTCCTTGCTGTGGTGCAAAAAAAAAGGATTCTCTTAAAAAAGTGCATTCTTTCTTTTTCTTTATTTCCAACTTTGGATTTGGATGATACATAAAGAAAATAAGTCCTATTGGTGAAAATTAGGCTGCCAAAAGAGTCCAGTCTGAAAATACTCCCTGGCTGTGGGCCTGAGAGCATCCTTGAGACGGGGCTGGGGAACTGCTTCAATCACAGAGCGGTCCTGCCTCCCTCCCGTATCACAACCCCTGGGTGGGAGAGCTGGGTGTAGGGTCACCAACCTCCTGCTGCAGCTGGTCCCCACATCCTGCTTCCTGGGCTCTACTCCCCTCACCCCCAAATGCTCATTCTTCCTCAACGGACTCTAGGTCTGCATTGAGGGAAGTATGCGTGTCTTTTACAGTTTAATTGTTGTTGCAAACATAAAGAAATGTAAAACTCTGAGGTGTAAAACAAAAGACAACCTTGGCTCGATGAACATCAAAGATTCTATAAAATTACTCCATTCTAGGACTCCCTAACAAAATCCCAGACTCAGGGAAAGGAAAGAGCTCTGGCTGGAGGACAGGGCCCCTGGAACGGGTCTTGGTTTTGCCATCTCCTCAATAAGGAGCCCCAGGGAAGTGCCATCCTCTGCCTGGGTCTTGATAAAACAAGTGGGCTAGACGGGGAAATCTCTGTGCCCTCCAGCTCTCGTTCCATGATTCTGCAACTGCTTTGAAGGGTCTTCCTCACTCCAAGCTAAAGTCTGCTCTCCGAGACTTGCCCTCACAGTCCTAGCTCTGCCTGGGGGCCACACATCACAGCAACTCCTGATCCTGGCCGTGCTTCAGAGATGGCAACACTGTGATTTTGATTTTGGGCCTTGATTCTGCTTTACTCCAGGCTGGCCAGCCATTCCCCAGGAAGTGATTTTTCACTCCCCTCACCCACCCTGCCCCTGTGGACAGGCCCTAGATGGTCACTCTCCTCCCACTGGGTGGAAACAGGTCTGAGCAGCACCTCTCAGCATCACCAAGCAGAGAGCGACTGTGCTCCCTTGGCCTGGATTCTCCCTCACACTCGTCTCTATCCACAAACAGTACACCACTGTCGCATTTTCAGTAAGTTAACTTCACTGACCTTTGTTTTGAGATTTTTAACAGACTAGGTGGACACTGGCCAAATGCCCCAGGAGTACAATAATCCTGCCAAGGGCGGATCTGTCCAGTGACTTATAGGCAAACTGGTTCAGGGCAAAAGCTGAATACCCAAGGGGACAAAGAACACATACAGATACAATAGGCTATTTGCACCTAGAACACCTTTTCTCTCTTCCTCTTGGGTAACTCTCATTGGTTCTTTAGAATTCATCTTGGATGCCACCTCTCCCAGGTAGCCTTCCTAGAATCTGCCAGGTGGAGCCGAGCACCTCTCCTCTGAATGACATTTCACAC